TTGAAGCTTGATTTTTTATCGATTTTCTCCCAAATTCATGTAGAAACTTGATCAGCTCTAAAAACGAAAGTTGTTCATCTTGATGTCCTCTCAGACATTTCTTAAAGAATTCTCTTCTAATTCTACCTGGTTAGAGAGATCTAGGATGAAGAACATGGGTACCTCGAAACTGAACCACTGATCTTCAGTTAGGGTTTGAAAAACAGTTTTGCTTTGCAACCTTTGAGCAATTAATTAACAACTAATTACTGATCAAACATCACAACCAATCACTCATTATCATAGCACAAACATCATACCAAACAATGGAACAACAGTTGGACAACTTTTATTTATGAAAATTCATTTATTAATTCACCAAATTTGAACTTAGCACTGATTTCCATGACTGCCAAGGGAGGGAAAATTAACATTAAATTCAATCTTTGGAGTCCAATTTCAACATATTTAACTTAGAAACACCATCATATTTTGATTCTACATGAAAGCACTCACTTCGTACTAAAAAGTTTATTTTAGCAAAAATTTATTTGTTTAAGCAATTTCACATATATAAATTCACAAAAAACCTTAAACATTAACATTGTTAACATTTCATGCAACATAGGAAACATCATATATGCAACATATATATGCTATAAATGAAACATGGCATGCATTTATGCCACAATGCTTATGCATGATGATCATGATCAAGGTTTTATTAAGTTCGTAACACCTAGGGTGTTACAGCTCGCCGGTGCAGCAGTGGCACAAGCAACTCACTGACGGGGCGACGTCACACGAAGCTCCTCCCCTCGTCCGCTTGTTGGAGAATCTACCGTGGAGGCGGTTGCGACGATCGGGCAGCGCAGTGGAGGCGTCGCGGCAAGCGAATGGCGCTGTGGAGGCAGTCGCGGCGGGCGGATGGCGTGGTGGAGGTGGCCGCGGCGGGCAGATGGCGCTGCGGTGGTGGCCGCGACGGTCAGAGCAGAGTGAGGAATGTTCTGGATGACTGATGTGCAGGTGAGAGGTTGCTGAGAGCAGCTGCAGCAGAGCGTAGAAGGCAGGTCGGTCCGCAGGCCCAGCAAGCGAGCGTCCGGGACGGACGGACGCCCTGACCCAGCATTAGCATTGGTACATATAATGAATATTATACATTGTATATACGACTGGCAGTAGTCACGCCGCTGATTTCAAAATCTATTTTTCTTTTGCTAGAAATGATTTTCTCTTTGCAAATGTAGTTTTTCTTCTATACTAGAATAAATAATTATCCACATCCTTGAAAAATGTTCCACCGTGATTAAAAAAGTTTATTTTTATATTAAAGGAAAAATGTTCCACCGATCGAGTTAAAGGCTTAACTATTTGTAATCACTTAAGTCAATGCAAAGGTAAGATGTCCATGATGCCATTTTTTTTAACTAGCACAAGACATAATTCCAATTATTGTAGAACATATTTTTTAGAGAAATTTTTGGTAAAAAAATATCCCTGCACTAGGATATTCTACCGGTTCCTAAATAAATCAATTTCTAGAGTTGACTAGTTTTATAGAAAAGAGCATCAATATTTATGACAGTAAATAAACATTATGAAAATATATCTCATGGTATATAACAATACGAGTTTGATGCCATAAATATTTATGCTCTTTTTTTATAAAATTGGTCAAACTTAGAAAAAAGTTTAACTTATGATAAGTATAGAATTTATTTATTTAAGATGGAGGGATAGTGTAAAATAGAATGTGATAAGTATTTTCTTATCATAGTAAATACTCCTAGTAAATTTGTGATACGGAGTAGACTAGTAAGGCTTGACACTACGGGGCTGTTTGGTAGGGATTCTCTATCGGCTTCCGCGGATCTTTCGCTGCTCCCTCAGCCAAACGCTAAAAAATCAAGGAGAGAGAAAAGGAGCAAAAAATACTAGAGATAAACTTACGTGTGTGGCCCAAAAGAGAAAATCTCTTCCTAAATTGGACTGAGGCTACCGACGGTGTTAAGTGTTGGGTCAAATTACCATTTTACCCCTGGCGAAAAGAATAAAGCTTCAACGGAAAAATTGTATCTTTTTTCATATGATTTCGGATGAAGATAATTTTTATATAAAAGTTGTAGCTCTCGACGAGATCTACAACTTTATAGTTTTAAGTATTTTAATTTGAGGTCATTAAGATGCTAAAAAATAAACAAAGTTTAAGAAGTATATTAATCATCTACGAGCGCTTGTCGCCTTGGAAAAATAGTATCTTTCTTATATGTTATCAAATGGAGATACTTTATATATGAAAGTTGTAGCTTTCGATGGGATCTATAACTTTATAGTTTCACTTTTTTTTTTGAGATTGCTTAAAAAAATAATATAAAGTTTTAGTAGCATATTAATCATGTAGAAACTACAATTTATGTACTATTGCGTGTGACCTTATTTGTGTAATATTACTCTAAATTTAAAACAGATTACTAAACTCTGCAATTTATTTTTTGATCAGGAGTAAAATGGTCATTTTATCCCACACTTAACACCATCAATAGCCTGAATTAGACGGAAGGTCATAGAAGGAAGATATTTTCGTTTTCAGGCCATACAAGTAAGTTCAGAAAAAATAGGGCCATGAGAGGAAGACGCATTTTTTTAAAACTATACAAGTAAATATCTCAAAATACTAGCTCCCGCCCGCTTCGCCTCACACTGGTGGCCCCCACGTGCAGCCATGGTCGCCTTTTGTGGAGGCACGCGGGCAAGGTCGGGGCAGGCACGGCCGGTGTGGGAAAGAATGACAACGTGGCTGCGCGACGACGGACGTAGGCAGAGACAGACGCGCAAGGACGAGCGGAGATGGTGCGAGGATGGCTAGCCACGAAGCAATGAGCGGAGATGCCGCGTGGGATGAGCGGAGATGGTGCGAGGGTGCGGCCGCAACGGCAGGGCACGGAGGCGCATGCGGGGAGGGAGGGAGGGAGGGAGGGCGTGCGTGTGTGAAGGAGAGATCTGGTGTAGGGCGGAGCAGGTAAGGTTGGAAAGAAAAGAAAAAAAAAAAAAAAAAAAAGGGTATTATGGACATTTCTTCCTTTCGGATTAGCAGGCGAAGCTATTTTGCCAAATGGTAAAAAAACCGATTCAGCTCCTCAAGTGAATCTACTCTGCAGATGAAGCTATAATTGAAGCTGTTTTGACTGGAGCCGAAGCTCTACCAAACAACTCTACATGTGGCCATTCCCCTCATTGTCTGCTAGCCAAGTGGTCAACACCTTCTGCCACCTATTGGGATTTCTGGTCACATATATTCAATGCTTATAAAAATTGTGCACATAAATTGGTAGTAACTAATGATTTGTTGTATTTGTACTACAGATCCTGGCATCATTAGTTAGTACAGAGCCTGCCATCATTAGAGCAGTTCCAATGAAAGAAACTAATAGTTTCTATAACATAGGATACCGTACCAAAAAAGTACTGCTTTTCAACCCATTGTTTCTATGAGTAATAATTATTTTCTCTTTCTCTCTCTCAACTCTATCTTCTTCCTCCAATGGAAGTGTGGTACGAGCCCCCTAAAACTGGTGGTTTCTCCCCAATGGCGATTTCATGGTTTCTTGGTGCATTGGGTCAAGAGAAGACCTGATTTCTTCACGAGGAAACCATTTCTAGGATTTTTGCTCTCTTTCTTCATTAATTACGTTGCCATGTCAACGTTTTACCTACGTGGCAAGTCATTTAATGAGAATAGAAACCATCATCAATACACCATTGGGACTACCCTTAGTTACTACCAATTTATATGCACATAAATTTGTAGTGTTTGTGACAAACTAGTAAGGCACATGGTACTACGGGTGGCCGTTCCCCTCATTGCGTGCTAACCAAGTGGTCAACGCCTTCTGCCACCTATCGTGATTTCTGGTTTCAGATATCAATGCCTATAAAAATGTGTGCTCATAAATGGGTAACTAATGAATTACATCATTAATTATAGTTGACAGCTGACACAAGTTGAAGCTAGTCTTTCAGTATAAAATCCACCCATCCCCATCTCACATGCTAGGAGTACGAGAGTACACTTAACTCAGAAGTCAGAACAAAAGAATCCACCTTGAAAATGGCCATGGCAGCCGCCACCGCGACTGCCAGCATTTTGCTCTTTGCTCTCTTCTTCGCCGGCGCTCACGCCGAGCCGGCCGAGCTCCCATGCGCGCTCCCCGCATGCAAGACGGTGGGCGGCGGGAGCCAGTTCTTCGACGTCCAGTTCTGCCTGGCGGCGCTCGGCTCCGACGGCCGGAGCGTCAGCCACTGCATGGACTACCAGGCCTACTCCGTCATCGCCGCCGACCTCCTCGCGGCCAACGTCACCGCCACGGCGGCTAAGATCCACGGCCTGCTGCAGGACAGCGGCGGCAGAGACGGTGGTGGCGTCGACGTCGACGAGGCCACGGCGCGCTGCCTCCGGTCGTGCCAGGCGCTGTACGGCGGCACTGTGCGGAGGCAGCCCGGATGCGCGGCCGCCGTCCGGGGCGTCAGGAAGGGCGAGGCCACGACGTGCCTGGAGGAAGCCGCCGCCGCAGCCAGGGAGTGCGAGGACGGGTTCCAGAGGAGCGAGGCAGCGTCGCCGGTGACGGCGGAGAACCAGAACGCGTTCATGCTCGCCAAGCTCACCGTCGCGCTGCTCGGCGAGGTCTATACTAATAAATGAAGAGGGTTTCTCTTCGTATAGTAGGGAGAAAATGTTGCTGTTGCTGTACTGGTAGTCTGCAACTGCCTTTTTCTTGGGGAAATCATATCATAATAATAAAATGAGTAAAAAAACAAATTAAAAATGTCGTGACATCTAATTACTTACTGTGTCATGCAAAGCAAACCAACCTGATGTGATTTTATTTATTAGTATCTGCGTAATGTTGTTACATTATACAGAGCTTTATGAAGATGCCAACAACCACCCCTGAACTAAGTAGGCTGTGTTGCTGGTATTTGCGTATCACACCACACCTCCAGTTTCCCACCAGCCTAGTAGTTCACATCTCCGCGACAAGTTTGGACTGAGCCAGGGCGAGATCGAACGAGCTGAAGGAGTGAGGAGCCAGTGTGACCTGCATCTGCTCGGCAGCATTGCCCAGATCGCTCTTCACTGGCACAACCTGCAGCGCAATTGTTCACCATCAGCATTCAGATTCAGGTAGGATCTCAGAGGACACGAGACCGAAAACAGAGCGCAAACAGGTGTTGAGAGACATACAATCATTCAGGCACACACAGGTAATAAGCACAGACAAAGGGGCAAATTTACCTTGGTTGGGTTACTGAAGGAATTTTCATCCATCACATTTGCTGATGTGAGAACAGTGGCAGTTGATCCCAGAGCGTTGACACTGGCCTGGAGTCCACTCGTGGAGATTGTCAGGGTCACAGCATCTGACCCGAAGTTTATAACCTGCACAGGAGCTTTCAGAGATCAATAGATACAGTAAAGGCTATGATGGATGCAAGAAATTTTTTTTTCTTGCCTTTACTCTTAGGAAGCTGTTCTCTGAGTCCTGCCAAGTAATCGCAGACACTGCGAGCGAACCAGAGTAGCTGGAACTGATTGTAGTTGGATGGAACATAGCACCACTAGACTCGCGGAAAAGTGTCTGCATCCAGTAACTAGGAGTGCCGCTTCCAGGAGTTGAAGACGATAGCGTCCGGGTTCCACCTGATTGATTTATCCCAACAGAATTATCACAAAGTTGGATTGACAAGAACACGACTAGAAACAGTGGGAAAAGTGTAAGACCATATGTACTAACGTTTGGTCATTGTTGTTTACGAACAGTGGCGCGTAACTTGCCATGTAAACAATGTCACTGCAAGGAAGAAAAACAAAGGTCATCAACTCACAGTAAAGGTTATCTTCGTAATGAGACTAGAGCAGGCAGAATTCTGTCAGGTCATGTGACTCAACGAGCAAAGGTAACATCTAAATTCATCTGTGAAGACTCGGGTTTGATCATCAGGTAACCTACAACTAACAATTTTTTTTAAAAAGGAGGGATCACCTATTCTTCTCCAGTCCAGTAAGGAAAGCAGCTTCTGCCAATGAAGCAAGAAGACTTCCTCTACCTGCATCACCTCTCCAAACAGCGTACTCACTCACGAAAGGCTGCATTTGAATCATATCCAGAAGATATTTACTGTCAAAACTGAATATGGTGACGTCAATAGACATGTATGATGTTGTAACTAAGCAAGAAAATCAATGAAGTTCTTGAGAGTCCCCAGAACATGGAAATAACATCACAGATCACATTGGCCCCACATATATGTGTTCCTCATTGTCATTTAGAGTCACAACTCACAACACCTAGAAGAATTGTATCCTCTATCTATCTCAAGAATTATGCACAAATATTCTACAAGAAACAGAGGACTCATTTCATATTGCCCTAAGAACATCCCAAGAGAAGTGTCAAGAAATCCCAAATACAATGTAAATGTTACTCATGAAAGAGAGCTCCTTCACAAGAATCTTCCTTGTGAATCAAAACTTACCTTGGGTCCACTACGAGATGTTCTGTCAAATGTGCTCTTCATGTTGAACAGAGTCTTAGAATCAGTATAGACCTAGAAAAGAGAAGCACCACTGAAATTTAAGAAAAGGCAATTGACAATGAATAATTAAACAGAACCGCAGGATGAAGACAGAAAACTGAGACAAATAGACTTGAAGCAAGAATTTTACATGGAAGTCATATAAATCAGCAGGATGATCAAGTGGTGTAGATGAACCATCGCAATTTGAAATCATTTGAATGTCTGGGTAGGCCTGTCTTATAGCATTGTAGAACTTCAGGTAGTTACCTATTCAACAGAAATAGAGAATATCACGCCATGAAACTAAAAGTAGGTTACAACAGATTGTAGCTGAAGTATTTTCCATGTCAACTACTTCTGGGAGATATGTTCAATTTAATTAGTTTCTTTGCTAGTGAAGAGAGGTTGGTTAGAAACTGCCGCCCAAGGATGTACAAAAATATAGTTGGTAAATTTACCAAGGTAAAAAAATTTCCCACGATCTTCATTTCCAATCGCAACGTATTTCACTGGGAATGGTTCAGGGTGCCCCATTGCAGCCCTAACAGAGCCCCATGTTGAATTTGCATCCCCCCTTGCAAATTCTATGCTGTCCAATACATCCTGTAGAAAGACAAACAGTTCCATAAAGAAGAAGCTACAATTATGAGTATAAAAAACCACCTAAGTTACTTTCAAAAAAAACTACCTAAGTCTATGAAAGATATAAGGTATCTTATTGAGTTTGGTGCTATTCATATAAACAGAAAAGGTTAGTTCATGGAGGTGCTATTCATATAAACAGAAAAGGTTATTTCATGGATAATCTTGGTAAAAGTGAATGCAAAACTCAAGCCAAGCATCATCTCTGCATGTGAAGTTGTGAACTACCTGGATTGAAAAGTAAAGGATCAAGTCCACCATCATATAGTTTTCAGCATTCTTGAAAAAGAAATAACTTTAGAATTATTCAAAACTAATAATATGTAACTGTTCTCATCATGGACAATAAAGTTTTTAATCTTGAGATATGCTTACTTACTCACAAAAAATGAAATGTTATTATAACATCTAATGTTCTGATATACAATGGTAATTTGCACCCATTGTTGAGAAAATATGATGCTTTAAATTTGTGAAGACTCTTCTGCCTCTATATCAAGAAATGTTTAGTATGCTAGAGAAATAACTACGGAGTCAAAACATACCTTTACAAAAGGAGCAATAGCAACAGTATCAACTTCATCATTGTGGCTGACCCCTGAGTTACAAGAGGGAACTTTCTGTTAATTAAGACGCCAACAGTGATTAAAAAATTTAACAACCTGAAAACAATTACCATTGTTGAAAACCCAGATTGGCTCAGCATCCAGGTCCTCCGCAAGCTTTGATGTATTTTTCAAAGCTAATTTTTGTTAGTGAGGGCAACAACAGGGAAGGAAAGGTCGAATGGAAGCAGTTTAAACTGGCACCTGAAGAAATTCATAGTATCCAAGGCCATCATCAGTCCAGTAATGCCAAACATCCCCGAAGTGTCCAGGTCTCTCTTCCCATGGACCAACAGATTCTCTCCACCTAAAGGCATTTCTTAACCACTCACCTTCAACAAAGCAGCCTCCTACAATAGTATCATGCAATCTAGTCCATTATCTCTAAATGTATTAAGATATTGCAATATATCATATATGTCTTAGCATCAAGAACCTGATTCTATCTAAATAAGAAAACACAGAGCATACCAGGAAATCTCAAGAATCGTGGTTTTAAATCCAAAATCATGGATATAAGTTCTGTGCGAAAGCCATGTCCCTGTGCGTATGCAGAGAAGCATTGCTGTTAAATACTCAGGTCAACCCTTGCACGACAAACATTGAGTAAACTAAACAGAAGAACCAACATATAAATTCAGCAAAACAGGGTATTGATCAGAAACATTTATCGGTGATTAGATTCATCAAACAAACCAAAGCAGTGAGCAGGATCTATACTATTCCTGCTCTTAAAATATTGTTGCCAAGTGGCTGCTACTTGCACATGATCGAGGTAACCAGCCCAAGATTTCATGGAAATGTGACATAATTATTGGAAATGTGACATACTTTTTGGATTTCTTCTTTAAAAAAAACAATTATTGGATTTCCAAAAATCAATATTTGTTATTAATATTTCATACAGGTGTTTTATTGTTCTTATTTGTGTCTTCCACTATCAAAATCAAGAACAATAATGTAATATACCTTGTATGTGTCTTCAGGCATGAGTGATACTTGATCAAACCAGACAACTCCTTTCTTATTAGTTGTTATCTGAAGCCTTGAGGTTCTATTGGTTCCTTTAGCAACCAACTTTTGCTCTACTTTTGTCCAATTTGATTCGCCGGAAACTCTGCAGCAGTGCAATCCTTTCAGATATCGTGAGCAACCAAATATTGACACTTGTCCTGATACCGAAAAAAAAGATACTAACGTTATTGTAGCTGAAGCCAGATTTTGCAACCCATCAGAGCTTGTTAGTGAAACTGTCAAGTCGGTTGTTTCTGGTGACTTAACATACATAACAAGATTGTAGGCCTTTCCATCTTCTATGTTCTGTAAATTGAAAAAGGTAACATTATAGAAAAGAAGTGAAAAAGGTAGGAAAATAGAGCTTGTACTGCAGATCTGTCTAGTATCAGAACCTGAAAAGTAACACCAGAACAATCCAAAGAAAACCGTGGAGCTCTGAATATTGTAATTCCTAACTCTGCTTCTACAGCTATGTTGCTACTCTGCTTTTGGAAATTGGCATTGCTAGTTACTTATGAAGTTATGATAAAACCAAATCCCACGGCATCATTGCATTGCACAATAACAAATATCATGCAGATTATTGACATTAACTAAATAGTTTTCACGAAATTACCCATTTCTCATACTGATATGAACAAGCAACATATGATAACAGCCATACCATGCCCCAGAATCCCGGGTTGTAAATACCAACACCACCAGTAGGACAGTTATCGCAAAGGACCTCCATCCTCAGAGCAATGATGTTTCGACTGAAACATGATGTCCGATCAGTCTCCACATATATAGAAGAGTCATCTCCAATGATGGACCATGGGCCAATGTTTGATGGAGTATGGAGGCCTCCAGCTTCAAACCCTGCAGCATAAATGCAGATGATGTTTATGCATAAATCCAGGCTCGATATTTGACAGAAACTTCTGAAGGGAAAAGACCTAATATGATCTATTCAAGCATGTCCTCAAAATAATTTTTGTATTTATCGTTTTCAGAATCTTTTCAAGCTTACAATCAAAACAAGGGCACAAGGGCATGTAAAAATCAGGCATGGCTGAATTACCTCTGTTGCTAACAAGTTCAGCCCATATGCCACCAGCTCCTGCATGGTTGATCTCCTACAGTAACAGCAACCTGGTTATGCGAGAACACAACAATGGAAGGTGGAGTGCATTTGGATTATTCCAGTTACATGTGACAAATTTTTACAAAATCAATAAGGCTGGCGTGTACAAAGAAATCATCGTCTCACCTCAAAGAATACCCCAAATAGTGTATCAGGGATCTTCCGAGCAAGCTGCGGCGAGGCATCGACCGTGAGGGTCGCCGTCTGGGTGGCCTCTAATTCTGATGCCAGGCATTTGCAGCCTAAGCAGAGCAGAAACAAGAAGCAGAGGATGGCACGAGGGGCCGTGTGCTTGCTGGTACCCATACACTTCCACAGTTCCACTTGTCAACTCTAGTTGAGCCGGTGTGTCTACCGAACACATAAGAGAAGAAGGCAGATATAATCATAGGATGTTAGAGTTAGGTGGAAACCGATAAGCACAAGCTACGACGATAACCTGAGTCTTGACACGTTCATCAGATTAGAAAACTGCAGCACCGCTATATATTATGCACATATGCAATAACAACGAGATAGATGCCGGAACATTATACGTTTAAGCTACACCAGTATTCATCATCTGTTAGACTGAAATTTAAAATGGCGCTTATTGTTTCGTCATGCAAGAGCAGTGCAGGCACTTGGAATAGAAAAAAAAGAGCTGCCTTTATTTAAAACGGTGTAATTATTTCATCAGACAAAGCACAACTACACAAAGATTACGCATTTAGCAAAGTTCTCCTGAGCTGGGCATTCCATCAAACAAGTCATGGGCCCCAAATCCGAATACAAAGAACAGGAAGGAACACGAAAGACAGGGTCTTTAGAGGGTTGCTCACCATGCATCCACCATTCCAAGGAAGATGCGAGCTCCCCGGCTGCGAGTGCAGGGCAGGGCATAGGCGGAGAGGCCGGGAGGCGTGCTCGCTCGCGCTTATATGTAGAGAAGGGCAGAGGAGGCGGTTAGCAGTGTTTTGAGATTTTTTTTTAATTTTAACACTTTTTGAAAACTAATTTTAAATCTAACACTGTCGTCGTTTTTTTTAAAAACTAACACTTTTGGCCGCGTCTATTGCCCTGGCGCGGCCAAATGCATGTGCCGCGCCATGCATGGTGGCGCGGGCAGCGGGCTGACGTGGCGACGACCGGATTCGCTGACTGCTGATGTGGCAGGGCCTCCCGCGCCACCGATCTTGGCGCGGCAGTACCACGCCCTGATCCGTGGCGCGGCAGAGCCGAATATAACCCCCGCGGCCAGTCCCGCCTGATCGAGCAGCAAACCCCGCTTGGCCGCCACGCCCGCCCCCCGTCCGGCCCTCCATTGCCGCATCCCTCCATTCCCTTCCATTCCCCGGCCGTCTCCCTCCCTTCTCGTCCTCGTTCAAGGTAATGACGCGTATTTTATTTTCGTTTGAATGTTGGATAGGATTTTATGAATGGGAGTTAAGGTTAGGAGAAAAATTATGTTTGGGAACTATGTGCTACGGTTTGAAGGAAGATATTAGTTTGATTTTGTCGATGTTAAGGTTAATTATTTAGTTAGAAGTATGTTTACCATGTATATTTTTGTTGCTATAAGTGTTGGTTACATTATTTTAGTTGCAATGTAAATGATTATATTTTACATTAATTTGCATTGTTTTGATTGATGTTTAATTTGAACCGTTTCATTAGATGGAAGACATGTTTCGGGAGCAGTTATGACGAAAACAGGGTTGTCCTAGAGAATTGTACCCCGACGAGTCTAGCAAAGATGCCCCGTCCCTTCTGAACTCCCTGACCCTAACTGTGACTGTGGACGTCCGGCCGACGTGTTTCAATCGAGACATCCGGACACAGCGGCTCGTTGCTTCTACACGTGCAGTCGTTTTAATGTAAGTAATTATTTCCGTATGTTTTCCTTCTTCATTTGTATTATTAGGTTAATAATATTTTGTTAAATTTTTGTTGTGTAGGCTTATGAGAGGTGCCTTTTCTTTCAGTGGATCGACGGTGTAGATAAGTTTGACCCCAAGTACCTCCTTTTCGACGATTGGTGGAGAGGGCGACATCCACGAGAGCACTTCGATCTAGCAGAGGCGGGCTTGCAGGCGGAGGAGGATGACGAAGCGTTCTTCACTCAGACCGCAGAGGCCGCAGATGAAGCGGAGGCCGCTTACTACAGGCGAAAGGCAAATCAGGGCAATGCAGGTGAGGCTAACCACAGCTATAGGGTTGTGGTTGAGGATTAGTACTCGGACGACGAGTTGCTTACTCAGTATGTTTCTGACTGAGGGTTTTTGATTGCGCCGTCTGTTAGTTCCATGCTTTATTAATAATCAATGTAGCTATGTAGTAGAAATTCTATTGTGTTGTCTTATATTCTATTTGAGCTACTGATGTATTGTACCCATATATCATGTATTCGGATTACCCATGGTCGATCTTAAGTGATCACATCTGTTTGTATCATGCGTTGAGAATTTCTAAAACGAATGTAATCAAGTGAAATTATCTCAAATACGGGTCCTGCCGCGCCATAGCCCAGGTTCTGCCACACCATAGTCCATGGCGCGTCATTGATGCGCCATAGACCACGGCGCGGCAGTGACGCGGATAGACAACGGCCAGCCTCAATTGAGCTGTTGACGGTGCTTTAAAAAACTACAAGTGCTGCCGCGACTGTGCGTAAGTTGAAACGAATATGAAGCAAATAAATGGACGACAAGTTGCCACATAACATTTTCATTGGTTTATGAGTCTGCAAGTTTTCGAGAACAATATTCGTTCGACATAACGAACTAAGTTCCAGCAATGTAAGGATCCCTCGAACGCCTCTTGTAAACCTCGTCGTCCGATGGAAGAAGGAGGTCGTCGTACTCTACCTCAAGAAGGGGGTATAGCTGGTGCGGCGTGGGAGGGGCCATCCTGTTACAAATTGATAAACAAATGGTTAGAATATTCAAATTAACAATATTTAGATTAACATTACGTAGCATTGCAAAATTTGAACTACTTGTTATACAATACGAACACAATATAAAATCACCTACTGCTCTCGTCTTCTATGCCTGCTAGCCTTGTGACCATATTGTTTGTAAACAGAGAAAAGATTCCTGCCATGGGTCTCGTTGAAGTCTCCCTAGCCATACATGTCTTCGCCGTACCCTCTCATAGCATCCATGTCCCCCTTGAGTCGTTTCTTCTTCCTCCTACACTTCCCTACCTTCATTAGATCCGGATGCGGCATGTAGTCATAACCATTATAAGATGGCCACTGTGTCGGATCAAGGTATGGCTCGAACCTCCTTGGTCATCATCAGAATCGTCTGAATCACTGCTAACTACATCACCGATCCTATCCTCCTCCTCCTGCTCCTCCTCTTCCCGTTCGAACTCATTCACATCGAAGTCATTGCTTATACAGCCTACTGCAGTTGGATGAAACTGCTCCTGCGTCAACTGACCGTCCAAATCCATGTTATCCTGAGTTGCTTCCCCTTCAACCCCTATTTCTTGTTCATTGCCTCCAAAACTATCAATGTACGGGCCTTCCTGAACACCCTGCATTCTGTACCCATTCTCCACTACTACCTCAGTCATGAGCACATTGAAACCTTAGAGAACCCTAGTGTAGCGGGACCAGTGAGCAGGGTCGCGTAAGGGCATGAAGACATAGTGTGTCATAATCTTCCCAATATCAAACATCCCCTTCAGTGTGAAATCACCGTCAAACTTTGCATTCAAACGGACTCAAATGTCGTTGAAGCTAGGAGCTTCATCAAACCATTCCAATTCTTCTTCCATATCCTCAAACATACCATCTTCTCTCCTAACACTTCCTCCGTATAAAACTCTAACACAACAATTCATCTGCAAAAACATTTCAAAAAACTTCATCAAATCATCAAAATCGTCATACGTAATGTCCATAGTAATATTAATACCTATTCTAACTATAACTATACTAAATAATCTAATATTAACATCTATACAAGGCTAACTACAACAACTAATTAGACTAAATCCAATATATAACTAGACTCAATAACTGTACTAACTAAACTACCTAACTTTACTATCTATACTAACTTACTAAACTAACTTTACTAACTAAACTAACTTTAGTAACTATACTAACTATACTTTACTAATTTTACTAACTTTATTAACTATACTAACTATATTAGGGGAGTACTGCTGGCAGCGTGCAAGGCCGCTCATGGCGGTGGCGCTAGACCGCCCAGAGGCGCAGCGCGCAGCCTCGGCGGGCAGCCGCCGCATGGGCATGGTCGGGGGTCGCTACGCGGCGCGCGCATGCCTTGTCGCACCGCCGGGCGGCCGGGCGCTCGCGTTTGCGTTAAATAACGTCGTGGCGCGTGGGCGGGCGTGTTTTACGGGCGGGTCGGCGCGTGCGCGCAGCACGCGCGCCGGTGGCCAGCGCGGTTTTTGCTCCGCAAGCAAGTGGAACTGGCATGGGGTTATATTCGGCTCTGCCGCGCCACGGATCAGGGCACGGCACTGCCGCGCCAAGATCGGTGGCACGACTGCCCCGCCACGTCAGCAGTGAGCGAATCCGGTCGTCGTCACGTCAGCCCTCTGCCGCGCCACCATACATGGCGTGGCAGGCATTTGGTCACGCCTAAGTGTTAGTTTTAAAAAAAATCGATAGTGGTAGATTTAAATTTAGTTTTCAAAACGTGTTAAAATTAAAAAAAAAATCCGTTTTGAGGGCAGGGAAGTGTGCCTGCGGCTGCGGGCTACGGAAGCCACGCAAGCCGTGTGTGCGGGCCGCGGGCGTCGGATTCTGATCGGGTCACGCCGCGACGACGGACGGGGACGGCCGGACGGGACGGCCAGCGCCCAGGTCGCGGCGCGGCGCGGCCGCAGTTGCTTGCCGGAGTGCGCCACTTTTGGTTTGGCGGTGGCTGTCCTGTCTGTCGCGCGCGCGTGCCCGCGGGCACGTGGGCCCACCCCGCCCCGCGTGTGACCCATGCTGAGTGTACTGTTTCACAGGCGCTACTGATACTGTTTCTATTTTCGTTGATAATCATCGAAACGAGTAGCCGTCGAAAAGGGTTTTGGTCTATTATTTTACTTTTTTAAAAATAAAATAAAATTATCATATCATTGAATATATGAGATAGGCTGCCAAAACTGGATAAACAAAAATAATAAAAAATACTTATAGAATATTAGATCGAATTATGAGAATGTGGCAGCCAAACAAATAGTACAATGTAGATGTTTTGTACGTGATAGGCTAAAAATAGTAACTTTGGAAGATGACGTAGTATCTATTCGGGGATAACGTGATACTTATAGTGGAGCATGATATGTGCGTA